CGCTCGGGGCCGTCGCCCGCCCCGCCGGAGAGAACGTCGGCGAGGCGGCTGGGGGTCGACGCCCCAACACCAGCCCGGAAAGGAGGGCGGCCCGGGGCTCCCTCACACCCCTGGGGCCGGCGGGTCGGCCCTGAACCGGTGCGACCTTGAAGGCTTCCCTGGCCAACACTCAAAGCAGCTGCGCTTCCCCGCAGCCCCCCGCCCTCAGGATCAAACACTGCCCCTCTTAAGGACGTGCAGTTGGAAAACGTAAGGCTGGTGAAATTACTATGTAAAATCCGGTGTACAAGCCATGTCGGATTCTGGTTAGAGTCGTTGCGTGTTCGGACACGAATCCAGCCGGATCCTTTGCAAAGGCCTCTGCTCCAGTATTTAGTTCGTTTTGGCATGATTCTGGAGATCAGTTCGAACCTAACCCAAACACGGGACAAGCAGCAAACCGAACCTTAATCCAGATGACCATTTTCGAACCAAAAGACTGGCCACGCCAATCCACTGGAATGTCCAGTTGCTCCAATCTGGCCAGGGGGACAGGAAAGGAGTCTGATGTCATTCAGGACTGCCACCAAGTCAGAAAATGCTAGTCTGTGTACACCAGAGATTTCTGGCAGCAGTGACAACAGAAAGCTTTTAGAGACCTTCCTGACCACGGTGGAAAGTGCACTGCTCTGTTACCAAAGGGCTCTCTCCCATCAACAACCACAGGGCTGGCAAGGTCCTTCAGAGGGAGGCCAGGCAGTGACCCGTTTAGCTCAATGTGCCCCTGCCTCAGATGTCCCTCACAGTACAGCTTTAATTCGTAAACATAGCACTTTACACCAGATAATCTGTAAAGAGAATAGGTCTGTGTAGCTCACGGTTCTGGAGGTCCAAGATCTGGTGGCAGAGTATGCCTTCAGGCTTCAACTCAGGGTGGAAGATCCAGAGTAAACAAGAAGTCTGAGGCCAGGTGCCCACCCACTCATAACTACCCACCCAGGTGGGGAACACATTAAACCATGAGGGTGGGGCCTTTCGTGACCTAATACTTAAAGGTCCCACCCCCTCTCGGCCCTGTGAGGGCCCAAGTGGTAGGAGGCCAACTATCAGCCACCATACCTCTTCTTCAAATGGAGTTTCCTCACTCTTTCTTTCCCACAAAGGAGCAGGAAGTCATTTCAGGGTCCTTCAGGCAGAGCTGAAAGCCAACCTGTTCCTCCAGCCCCCTAATGGAGCAGTCCAGCTCCTTTAATTGGCCTGATAAGTCACACATTGTCTTATGTATGCCTTCCAAGTCTAGTGCTAAGCAAAGGTTAAATGTTTCCCATTTCCTATATTGCACATAAATTCCCAAGTTTTATAATCCACTCCTTTTAAAACAAAAAACAAAAAACAAAAAACCTAGGGGCTGGGAATGTGGCTCAGTGGTAAAGCGCTTGCCTTGCATGCCTGAGGCCTGGGTTCGATTCCTCAGCACCACATAAGCAAAAAGGAAAAAAAGCCAGAAGTGGCGCTGTGGCTCAAGTGGTAGAGCGCTAGCCTTGAGCTGAAGAGCTGAGGGACAGTGCCCAGGCACAGAGGTCAGGCCCCACTACCGGACCCCCCCCCCAAAAAAAAACACCTAAGCCTGTGGCACTCCAGTGGCTCCCACCTGTAAATCCTATCTACTCAAGAAGCTGAGATCTAGGATCACAGTTCAAAGCCAGCCCGTGAGACTCTTATCTCCAATAAACCACCACAAAGCAGGAAGTGACACTGTGGTTCAAGAGGTAGAGTGCTCACCCTGAGCTGAAGAACCAAGGGACAATGCCCAAGCCGAGTTCAAGCCCTACAACTGACAAAGAAAAAAGAGGCTGAGATCTGAGGATCAAAGTTTGAAGCCAGCCCTAGCAGGGGCAGGAAAGTCCCTGAAACTCTTGTCTCCAATCAACTACTCAGAAAAAGCCTGTAGCAGCACTATGCCTCAAGTGGTAGAATGCTAGCCTTGAGCAAAAGCGCCTAGGCTCTGAGTTCAAGCCTCAAGACTGACCAAAAACAAACACAAGACCAAAACAAAAACCCCCAAGCCTGCTCTATTACTAGCAACTGAATTTCTTTTTTTGTTTTGTTTTTTCTGTACCAGTCCTGGAGCTTAAACTCAGGGCCTAGGTGTTGTTCCTGAGCTTTTTTGCTCAAGGCTAGCACACTACCACTTGAGCCAGTTCCACTAATGGCTTTTTGTTGGTTAAATGGACTTCCCACCCCAGGCTGGCTTTGAACCATAATCCTCAAATCTCAACCTCTTCAGTAGGACTGCAGATGTGACCCACTAGCACCTGGCTTGGTCACTAAATGTCTACTCTATTACACTTTGTTGTGGACAGTGGGTTCCATTTCACGATTCCCAACCCAAGGCAGCACAGCACATGTTTGCATGGGCCTTTCCCAGCCCATCTCTTCTTGCTTTGTCCTTACCACCTTCAAAATTAGCTCTCAATTTGGGGGGGGCTGGTGGTTCATGCCTATAATCAGCTATTCATGAGGCTGAGATCTGAGGATCACAGTTCAAAGCCAACCAGGGCAGGAAAGATGTGAGTCTCAAAGTGGTAGAGCACTAGCCTTGAGCAAAAGAGCTCTGAGACAGCATCCAGGCCCCATGACTGACCAAAAAAAACAAAAACAACCTTAACCGGTGACTCATGCCTAAATCCTAGCTACTCAGGTGGCTGAAATTTGAGGATCACAGGGAACCAATTTGGACAAAAAAGTCCATGAGAGGGGCTGGGAAGGTGGCTCAGAGGTAGAGCGCTTGCCTTGCATGCTCGAGGCCCTGGGTTCGATTCCTCAGCACCACATAAGCAAAAAGCCAGAAGTGGCGCTGTGGCTCAAGTGGTAGAGCGCTAGCCTTGAACTGAAGCGCTGAGGGACAACGCCCAGGCCCAGAGTTCAAGCCTCATGACCAACCAAAAAAAAAAAAAAAAAGAGTGAGAAGGGACTGCTGGCCTTTTATTGCTGAGAGAGGAGGTAGTGAAGGAACTGTACAAGAACACACTTGCTAAGCCTGGCTAAGGGCATCCATAGCTCTGCCGCACACACTCACCACTACCTCTGTATTCCCGTAACTGCTCCAACTGTCAAGCAAAGGGCAACAATCTGTCAAAAACGGAAGAAGCCAGAAGCCAGATCCAGCTAAATGATGCAGGCTGTTTTCTTCCCCACTCTCTTCATCAGCTTTAGGGAAGGTGTCCAATCCCACCCCATCAACTTCTGCTATAGCCCATCTCCAGCTGTCTCAAGGACCAGCATGCTAGTCAGCTGCCTTGATGGGCTCAGATGCTCCTGCAAAAATCTCCCACTCTGCATACCCCACTTCCCATGCTACGCTGAGGCAGGAAGGCCAAAGCAGCAACCAGTTCCAGCTTCTAGAAAGGGTTCCAAATACAGCCATGCTGAGCCTTTGTTCTTCTAGGGAACAGAGCAGCATCTAGTGGCCCATCTGGGTAGCACAGATTACATAACTCCAGCACACAGCAGGGCATCAGAGCACCAAAGCAAGCCCTGGCACCATGAAGATTAGTACCTAAAGAAGACCCTCAGAGAACCAGTTCATGCATGGCCAACTGGCTCAGTGATGCCTAGACTAGCTCTTTGAAGAGATACAATGGCACAACTGCTGTTGTAATGGGATATTCCCAAACAACAACATTAAAATGGTAAAAGGGAACCAGCCACTGGTGGCTCACACGAGTAATCCTAGCTACTCAGGAGGCATGAGATCTGAAGATCGCAGTTTGAAGCCAGCCTGGATAAGAAAATTCCATGAAAGTCTTATCTCCAATGAATCACCAAAAAGCTGGAAGTGGAGCTGTGGCTCAAGTGGTGGAGTGCTAGCCTTCAGCACTTAGCCTTGAGCAAAATGGCTCCAGGATAGCACCCAAGCCCCCGAGTTCAAGCCCAAGAACCAGCACCCAAATAAAAGTG